GAAAACGGGGGGAAATCTTTTATTCAAACTTCCTTAAACCCCCCAAATAAGTCACCCAGACCCATTTCACATATCAAAGGACAAGGTCTGCAAACAGAAATAAAATTAATTAAAACTGTCCCCCAATGAAACTGCCGATGCACAAGAATAAACACGTACCGACACATGTTCATACTCCTCAAGCACACACCAAGGACCCCATAAAACAGTCTTTCTAGACCCCATTTTCTCAGGAGCTGCCCCCGCAAGCAAAGCTCTTTGCTTTGTGGAATGATGATGATGATGATGATGATGATAAAGTTGGAAGGGACCTTGGAGGTCATCTAGTCCAACCCCCTGCTCAGGCAGGAAACCCTATACCATTTCAGACAAATGGCTGTCCAGTCTCTTCTTAAAAACTTCCAGTGTTGGAGCATTCACTGCTTCTAGAGGCAGGTGGTTCCACTGGTTAATTGTCCTCACTGTTAGGAAGTTTCTCCTTAGTTCCAGGTTGCTTCTCTCCTTGATGAGTTTCCATCTGTTGCTTCTTGTCCTGCCTTCAGGCGCTTTGGAGAATAGCTTGACTCCCTCTTTGGGGCAGCCCCTGAGATATTGGAAGGCTGCTATCCTGTCCCCCTTGTCCTTCTCTTCATTAAACTAGACATACCCAATTCCAGCAACCGTTCCTTATATGTTTTAGCCTCCAATCCCCTGATCATCTTTGTTGCTCTTCTCTGCACTCTTTCTAGAGTCTCCACATCTTTTTTTACATTGTGGTGACCAAAGCTGGATGCAGGATTCCAAGTGTGGCCTTACCAAGGCATTGTAAAGTGGTATTAATACTTCTCGTGATCTTGATTCTATCCCTCTGTTAATGCAGCCCAGCACTGTGTTGGCCCTTTTGGCAGCTGCAGCACACGGCTGGCTCATATTTAAGTGATTGTCCACTAGGACTTCGAGGTCCCTCTCACAGTTACTACTTTGAGCAAGGTACCCCCTATACTATCCCTGTGCATTTGTTTTTTCTTGCCTAAATGTAGAACCTTACATTTTCACCATTGAATTTCATTTTGTTAGTTAGTGCCCAGTGTTCAAGTCTGTCCAGATCCTTCTGTATCCTAAGCCTGTCTTCTGGAGTGTTGGCTATTCCTGCCAGCTTGGTGTCGTCTGCAAATTTGATGTGTTCCCCATCTATCCCCTCGTCCAAATTGATTGAGCCCTATGATTCTACATTCTAAAAGATTAACTTGAGACTTCCCTTTGGCACAGACACAAGCATGAAATACAACCACCAGTCCCAGGCATCAAATCCCAAGGTTAAAATTTCATCATTATTATTTTTTCCAGCTTCAAGCAGCATGGACATACTTTTCAAAAAAAAAAAAGGAGCGGAGAAATGCTGGTTCAGGCAAAAGAGAAAGAGGGAACTTATTTTCCGAGCTCTAAAATCTTGGCTTTAAAGAAAGAAAAAAAAAAAGAAAAAAAGTGGTTGGAAAGGAGGGCCATCTCCCCTTCTCTTGTTTGCCCTCCGTCTCTCCATCAATCACAGGCTGTATTTGATTTTCAGAACTTCCCCCGCTGTGATGCTTTTCCCATTTTTATTCAGGATGAAGGGACTCGGGGTGGTGGGGGTGGGGGTGTTACAGGTTGTTGACCACCAGGTCCGGCTTTCTTGGCTGCCTCGGGGAAGAGAGACTTTTTTGCAGCTCTGTGTAAAGAATGTATTTATTTCTCTGTCGCACAGGTAGCCCCCTCCCTCCTGGGGGATTGAACCCATGGTGGGTGACTTGTCTCCCCTCCCCAAGCTGTGGGGTCCTTGTGCTCTCTGAGCTGGGAGGTTTTCTTGCGGAGGTCTCATGACCCAACTAGGGAACATCATCAGGGCTAGAAGGGAGAGGAATTTGCAGGGAGGAGGGGGAGGAGGAGGAGGACGACTGTGGGGTCCTTGGTCCTTGATCTGGATTGTTTTCTTGAAGACATTTCATGACCCAACTAGGGAACATCATCAGTGCTAGAAGGAGATGGGGCTTGTGGAGAGGAGGAGGAGGAGGAGGAGGAGGAGGAGGAGGAGGAGGAAGAAGAAGAAGAAGAAGAAGAAGAAGAAGAAGAAGAAGAAGAAGAAGAAGAAGAAGAAGAAGAAGAAGAAGAAGAAGAAGAAGAAGAAAAGGACTGGTGTCCTTTTGGTTGTTTTCTTGCAGACGTTTCATGACTCAGCTAGGGAACATCATCAGTGCTAGAAGGGAGGAGGAGGAAGAGGAAGAGGAAGAAAAAGAAGAAGAAGAAGAAGTGGTGGAGGAAGAGGAGGAGGAGGAGGAGGAGGAGAAGAAGAAAAAGAAAAAGAAGAAGAAGAAGAAGAAGAAGAAGAAGAAGAAGAAGAAGAAGAAGAAGAAGAAGAAGAAGAAGAAGAAGAAGAAGAAGAAGAAGAAGAAGAAGAAAGGAAGAAGGAGGAGGAGGAGGAGGAAGAAGAAGAAAGAAGGAAGAAAGAAGAAGAAGAAGAAGAAGAAGAAGAAGAAGAAGAAGAAGAAGAAGAAGAAGAAGAAGAAGAAGAAGAAGAAGAAGAAGAAGAGGATTGTGGGGTCCTGGGTGCTTTCTGAGCTTGCTTGTTTTCTTGCAGACGTTTCATGACCCAACTAGGGAACATCACCAGTGCTAGGAGGGAGGGGGGTTTGTGGAGAACGAGGAGGGGGGGAGGACTTGGTCCTCCAGGAGCTTAAGAGAATCTCTGCAGTTAAATGAATTCAGCTTCCCTCATAACGGCGCTTGTGGCAAGTCCCCCGTGTCCAGTTCTCAAACGGCAATCAGATGACCCCGAGGCGCTGAAACTGTCACGAACAGATGCCGGCTGCCAAACCCTTCAAATGTTAATCACGTGACTTTGGGGATGCTGCAGCGGTCGTAAGTCCGAGGACTTTGCACTTTGAACGGCTGCTTAAATGCACGGCTTGTAACTCCAGGACCACAGCCTGCTGGATTGGGGCAGGAGATAAATTGCCCAGATAAATCATATCGATAAATTATCAGGCCAATTTGCTGTACCAGCTGGAAGTTATTCAGACATTAAGGAGGTAATAAACCCCAGATTCCTAAAAGAGGAGACAGCCGATGCAAAGTTTGTTCCAACATGGTTAGATAATCAGGATGTTGGAAGGAGCGACGTAACCAAGGCAACCGAAATAAATTCAGAGCAAGGAACACTCTGATCCATATGTATTTATTCATTACATTTCCTTGCAGCGGCCGGAGAGCTAAAACACAACCTGTGCGTTTCTCTCCCCCCCTTTGAGAAAACAATATTTCTGAAATAATACGAGATGCCGTCGCCAAAGGGAAGAGGGAGAATCCTAGCGTGCAAAATAAATCACCTTCCCGACCAACTGAATTTGCACGCTCACTTTTCTGGCAAAGTAGATGCTTGAGAGCGGAAGTTCGAACTCAGGTTGAGGGAAAGACGCCGGCAGGGTTCCCACGTAAAGGCCAGACCCAGGTTACTAAAACCCAAGGGCTGAGGTTTCATCATACAAGGTGCAAACAAATTCATTTTCATTGTGGTTGAATGCAGTGATTCTCAACCGTGGCATGCGCTGGAGAATTCTGGGAGTTGAAGTCCACGCGTCTTAAAGGGGCCACGATTGAGAATCACTGCCTTAATTGGATAGTTCGGGGGTGGGGAATCTTGGCTCTTTTATGACTGGTGGAATAGAATTAGAATAGAATAGAATAGAATAGAATAGAATAGAATAGAATAGAATAGAATAAAATAGAATAGAATAGAATAGAATAGAATATAGAAAATGAATAGAATAGAATAGAATGGAATGGAATAGAATAGAATATAAAAAATGAATAGAATAGAATAGAATATAGAAAATGAATAGAATAGAATAGAATATAGAAAAAGAATAGAATAGAATAGAATGGAATGGAATGGAATAGAATAGAATATAAAAAATGAATAGAATAGAATAGAATATAGAAAATGAACAGAATAAAATAGAATAGAATATAGAAAATAGAATAGAATAGAATAGAATAGAATAGAATATAGAAAATGAATAGAATAGAATAGAATGGAATAGAATAGAATATAAAAGATGAATAGAATAGAATAGAATATAGAAAATAGAATAGAATAGAATAGAATATAGAAAATGAATAGAATAGAATAGAATGGAATGGAATGGAATGGAATAGAATAGAATATAAAAAATGAATAGAATAGAATAGAATAGAATAGAATAGAATATACAAAATGAATGGAATAGAAAGGAACTGAACGAAACGGAACAGAACAGAACAGAACAAAACAAAATAGAGCTGGAAGGGACCTTGGAGGTCTTCTAGTCCAGTTCAAGCAGGAGGACCTATACCATCTCAGACAGGATTGTCCAGTCTCTTCTTGAAAACCTCCAGGGATGGAGCGTCCACGATTTCTGGTGGCAAGCAGTTCCACTGGTTGATTGTCCTCATGGTCAGGAAGTTTCTCCTTAATTCCAGGTTGCTTCTCTCCTTGATCAGTTTCCAACCGTTGTTTCTCACCCTTCCCTCTGGTGCTTTGGTGAACAACCCTGCCCCCCCCCCCGCCTTGTGGCAGCCCCTCATATATTTGATCGGCATCTTTGGCAAATGGCATTGCAAACTCGGAAGGAAGACCAGTCTGGAGGGAGGAAAGAAGTCTCCCTAGACTGAGTTTGATAAAATGCGCAAAAGCAGCCACGTGCATTGCCCGTTGAATTAATTCCGGGTGCGGAAAGCAGGCAGTCAGCCTGCTTAAATCTCTGTCAACCCAGAGGTAGGAAAATTCTCTCGTCGCCTGGATGAAAACCTCCACCTTTTGGCGATGAAATACAGCAAGGGTCTTTCTTGCATTACAGGACTCGTTCAGCAAAATAACTTAAAAAGACGCAGGGTGGAGAACTTGTCTGGTGGCCAAGGGCGAAGGCCATGAAGGTCTTTATGGAACCACTTCCTTCTGAGGACACTTGGGGCCTGTACCTCGCCGTCTTGAGCCCCCTTCCTCAGCCTTACACCCGGGTATCCCTTGCGTACATCATGGCGGTGGGGGTCTGCACAGACGAATGGCAGGAGAGGGTCACGGCAGGAGGCAGATAAACCCTCCGAAAAGGGTAGAGGTCCTTCTTCAAGTTGGCATCTAAGAACCAGGAAACAAAAGAGAGAGACACGGGTTCAGCAAACTGACAATCATGGACACTGTAGTATCTGTGTAGCATCTGTGGCCAGTATCTTGGAGCAAGAGGCTATCCAGGGTTGGGCAAGACTGCCAAGAGAAAATATGCTACAGCACATGTAGGTAGCCAAACGTAGATTGTCTGAGACTTTTTAAAGCAGCTACTTCGATAATTGTCACATGAACCTGGGAAGAAGTTCAGTTATGATAAAGCAGTGTTTTCCACCGTGGTGACTTTTCAGATAGGTGGACTTCAACTCCCAGAATTCCCCAGTCAGCACAGGCAGGCAAACCAAACATAGATGCTCTGCAGCTCTTTAAAGCAGCTGCTTCTATAGTGGTCACGTGAACCTGGGAAGAAGAAGCGCAGTTGGGCTAAAACAGTGTTTTTCCACCTTGGCCGCTTTCAGATGGGTGGAATTCAACTCCCAGAATTTCCCAGCCTATGCAGGCAGATAGCCAAATGTAGATTGTCTGCGACTCTTTAAAGCAGCTGCTTCTATAATTGTCACCTGAATTTGGAAGACGTCCAGTTGCGATAAAGCAATGTTTTTCCAACCTTGGTGTCTTTAAGGTGCGTGGATCACAATGCCCCAAATTAACCAGCCAGCATCGGCAGGTAGCCAAACATAAATTGTCTGTGACTCTTTAAAGCAGCTACTTCGATAATTGTCACATGAACCTGGGAAGAAGTGCAGTTGGGATAAAACAGCGTTTTCCACCTTGGTGACGTTTCAGATGGGTGGACTTCAACTCCCAGAATTCCCCAGTCAGCGCAGGCAGGTAGCCAATTGTAGATTGTCTGCAACTCTTTAAAGCAGCTATTTCTATAATGGTCATATGAGCCTGGGAAGAAGTACAGTTGCCATAAAGCTGTATTGTCCTAGCTTGGCTACTTTGGGATGTGTGGACTTCTACAGCCACAATGCTGTAGAAGTACAGCACATGCTGGCTGGGGAATTTTGGGAGTTGAAGTCCACACGTCTTAAAGCAGTAGGAAACCACCGCAGATGGGAACTCTGGTTGCACCTCCACACACCTTGAAGATCCCGAGGACTTGGGGTGCTAAATGGTTGCTGGAATCATTGAAGCTCATTGGCTGTACACTAAACCACCATTTCAGCAAGCAGAAGCGCCTGTAGGGTGTAGTCTGAAAAGTCAAGATGGTGGTCAAAGGCCGGTTTATGCTAAGGTTGAGTGGGTGGGAGGCTAACTCCTTCTAAGTTGTTCTAAAAACCCCAGTCTTGGTGTGCTTGGGAGGTGGTGCCTTCAGTCGGTCCAAGGGATGTCCTGTGGCTTGAGCTGTGGTGGTTGAGATGTTGCAATGGAAGATCCACCTGGTTTTGCATGAGTGTTGCCAATGTGATGTGCATCAAAGAGAGATGGCGCTTCCGTCACTTTGCTGAAGCCACCATCTTGACTTTTTGGACCACACCCAGCAGATATCCCCATCAGGAGAGGTGGAAGATTGCCCATCCCATCTGGAGGTCTCCAAACTGGAGAAGGGGACGGTCCACCAAAAATGGACCATCTCCTGGGCCTTTTGCAAAACACAAAACCATCCAACATCTATGGAGATTCTCAACCGTCCAGGCCACAGTGTCCGAAAGGTGCTTTTCAAAACACAATGGGACTTTTTCAATCCATCAGAATAGAGCTGAAAGGGACCTGGGAGGTCTTCTAGTCCATCCTCTTGCTCAAGCAGGAGACCCTCTACCATTTCAGACAGGTGGCGGTCCCGTCTCTTCTTAAAAACCTCCAGGGATGGAGCACCCATGACTTCTGAAGGCAACTGGTTAATTGTTCTCGCTGGGTCTTTCTCCGTTGTCTTTTTCCTGGAAAACATTTCGCTTCTCCTCCAAGAAGCTTCTTCAGTTCATCTTCAGTCCTTCAGAAAGAAACCGAGGACATCCGGTTGCTTTTGAAAAGCACCTCTGGGACGACCGTGCAAGGTTTCACATCGCTTCATACGTGTGGCCGTGGTCCGCATATCTGCCTTAGCTCACCTTGGAAAAGGCGCCCGCAGCAGGTTAAGAAGGTGCCGGCTAGGAAGCAACCGAAGGACCCACTCAGCCCAAGCCAGCATGACCAGCCAAGCTGGTACTGGGTGCCCACGAAGACATTATGCAAGACGAGGGTGGAACGTTCCACGTAGATCCCAATGGCGTACCAAGTGGAGCCGATGAGCCCAGGAATACCTATGAGAGAGAGAGAGAGAGAGAGAGAGAGAGAGGGAGGGAGGGAGGGGGAGGGAGGGAGGGAGAAGCTGTAGTGTCCACTATCCATAATAATAATGATAATAATAATAATAACAACAACTCCAGCAATGTTACAAAAAACTGCGCTATTCGGAACATCTTATATTTTAAGGAGATACCTGGTTGACACCTAGGATGCTGTTAGCAACCCCTGTCAACTATCAGCACCAGCCAATTTGAATATTCAGTTGACTGAGGTTCATGTTTAATGAAGAAAAGATAATAATAATAATAATAATAATAATAATAATAATAATAATGAGGAGGAGGAGGAGGAGGAAGAGGAGGAGGAGGAGAAGGAGGAGGAGGGATCTTGGAGGTCATCTAGTCCAACCCCCTGCTCAGGCAGGAAACCCTAGACCATTTCAGTCAAATGGCTGTCCAGTCTCTTCTTAAAAACTTCCAGTGTTGGAGCATTCACCTCTTCTGGAGGCAGGTTGTTCCACTGGTTAATGGTTCTAACTATCAGGAAATTCCTCCTTAGTTCCAGGTTGCTTCTCTCCTTGATGAGTTTCCATCCGTTGCTTCTTGTCCTGCCTTCAGGGGCTTTGGAGAATAGCTTGACTCCCTTTTCTTTGGGGAAGCCCCTGAGATATTGGAAGGCTGCTATCCTGTCCCCCCCTCGTCCTTCTCTTCGTTAAACTAGACCTAACCAGTTCCAGCAATCGTTCCTTATATGCTTTAGCCTCCAGTCCCCTGATCTTCTTTGTTGCTCTTCTCTGCACTCTTTCTAGAGTCTCAACATCTTTTTTATATCGTGGTGACCAAAACTGGATGCTGTATTCCAAACGTGGCCATACCAAGGCCTTGTAATTAAACAGCTAGGCTTGGAAGAGAAGCAACCTGGAACTAAGGAGGAACTTCCCAACAATCAGAACAATTAATCAGTGGAACTCCTTGCCTCCAGAAGTTGTGAATGCTCCAACACTTCAAGTTTTTAAGAAGAGACTGGACAGCCATTTGTCTGGAACGACAGAAGATCTCCTGCCCTGAATAGGGGGTTGGACTAGAAGACCTCCAAGACCCCTCCCATTATTCTATTCTAAAATAAAAAGCATCCAGGGGCTAAACCATATGGCGAACGATTGAAGAAAATAGATAAGCTTAGCCCAATGAAGAGAAAGTTTAGGGATGACATGACAGCAGCCTTCCGATGTTTGAGGGGCTGCCCCAAAGAAGAGGGGGGGGGTCAACCTATTCTCCAAAGCACCTCAAGGCAGGACAAGAAGCAACGGATGGAAATTCATTAAAGAGAGATCATGTCCATTATCTAGACCTTTTGGTCTTTCTTATTGATTCTGTAAGGGCCTCCTGCCTAAGCAGGGGGTTGGACTAGATGACCTCCAAGGTCCCTTCCAACTCCATTAGTCTATGATTCTGCGAGGGCCTCCTGCTCGAGCGGGGGGTTGGACTAGATGACCTCCAAGGTCCCTTCCAACTCCATTAGTCTATGATTCTGCGAGGGCCTCCTGCTCGAGCGGGGGGTTGGACTAGATGACCTCCAAGGTCCCTTCCAACTCCATTTGTCTATGATTCTGCGAGGGCCTCCTGCTCAAGCGGAGGGTTGGACTAGATGACCTCCAAGGTCCCTTCCAACTCCATTAGTGTATGATTCTGCGAGGGCTTCCTGCTGGAGCAGAGGGTTGGACTAGATGACCTCCAAGGTCCCTTCCAACTCCATTAGTGTATGATTCTGCGAGGGCCTCCTGCTGGAGCAGGGGGTTGGACTAGATGACCTCCAAGATCCCTTCCAACTCCATTAGTCTATATTATAGTGTATATTATTATTATTGTTGTTGTTGTTGTTGTTGTTGTCATCTTTTGGGCCAGCTTCTGTTCTTCCTTTCTCAGTATCCTTCGTGAAAAGTCTTTGATTTCAGGTTAAAAACTGGAAGGGCCTCCTCCTCCTCCTCTTTCAGTGGAACTGTGGACCCCCTAATTCACCCCAAATTAGGAAGGAAGGGATGATCTGCCAGAGAGGGTCAAAGGTTCGAAGGTCAAAGATGTCATGGTGGCCAGGATGGACTGATCCTAGTTTCACCTCACACTACTGGGGCCGCCATCTTGACCAGGGGTCCTGAAACTACGGCCCACCATTTTATCCGGCCCGCCTTTTTATCCAGCCCGCCTCAACCTCCCGGGCAAGCCGTCCAATCACGAGGACAGGGTAAGTGGATGGCGGCGAGAGCTCCAGCCAATGGCGGGATGGCAAGTTGGTGGGAAGAGATGTTTTTTCCCCCAGTTTCTCCTTCACGCACCAAAGCGTACACTTGTGCTTTGGCCACGCCCCCTTCCTCTCGCCTCCTCGCGTTTTTACCTCAGGGTTTAGGCCTCACTTGCAGCCTCGGCCTCGCTTAGGGCAGCCAAGCCGGGTGATGACAACGCCACTGCTGTTCCTTCCTCTAAGGCGGGTCCCTCGCTAGGCGCTACGGAATGCGAGCCCCAGCCTCCGTCGCTGCCGTGCCAGCCAAGAGGAAATTGGTGCTGCCGGCCCTCAACATTGCCATCGCCGAGGGACCCAGCCTTACCGGCGGCGGCGAGGGCGATGGCTCCAAGTGAGTGGGCTTGATCCTCCATTAGGGTCGGAGTGGGGCTGCTGGAGTGGGGTGCCAGTTTTGGGTCTGAGGCAGTGGTGGGATTCAAATAACTGAACAACCCATTCTCTTATTGGATGCAGGCCTGGGCCTCCGAGGCATAGAACGAACTTCCAGAAGTGGCATCCATGCACTTCCAGTGGCTGTTCTAGGCCTGGGAGTCCTCCTCCAGGCCTCTGAGGCCTAGAACAGACTTCCGGAAGTGGCATCCATGCACTTACGGTGGCCGTTCTAGGCCTGGGAGGCCTCCTCCAGGCCACTGAGGCCTAGAACGAACTTCCAGAAGTGGCATCCACTCACATCTGGCAGGCCTCCGAGGCCTAGAAAGAGCTTCCAGAAGTGGCATCCGCGCACTTCCGGTGGCCGTTCTAGGCCTGGGAGGCCTCCTCCAGGCCTCTGAGGCCTAGAACGGACTTCCGGAAGTGGCATCCATGCACTTCTGGCAGGTCGTTCTAGGCCTGGGAGGCCTCCTCCAGGCCACTGAGGCCTAGAACGGACTTCCTGAAGTGGCATCCATGCACTTCTGGTGTGCCGTTCTAGGCCTGGGAGGCCTCCTCCAGGCCTCTGAGGCCTAGAACGGACTTCCGGAAGTGGCATCCATGCACTTCTGGCAGGTCGTTCTAGGCCTGGGAGGCCTCCTCCAGGCCACTGAGGCCTAGAACGGACTTCCTGAAGTGGCATCCATGCACTTCTGGTGTGCCGTTCTAGGCCTGGGAGGCCTCCTCCAGGCCTCTGAGGCCTAGAACGGACTTCCGGAAGTGGCATCCATGCACTTCTGGCAGGTCGTTCTAGGCCTGGGAGGCCTCCTCCAGGCCACTGAGGCCTAGAACGGACTTCCTGAAGTGGCATCCATGCACTTCTGGTGTGCCGTTCTAGGCCTGGGAGGCCTCCTCCAGGCCTCTGAGGCCTAGAACGGACTTCCGGAAGTGGCATCCATGCACTTCTGGCAGGTCGTTCTAGGCCTGGGAGGCCTCCTCCAGGCCACTGAGGCCTAGAACGGACTTCCTGAAGTGGCATCCATGCACTTCTGGTGTGCCGTTCTAGGCCTGGGAAGCCTCCTCCAGGCCTCCAAGACCTAGACTGTGTGGGGGAAGTTTAAAAATAAAAATATATATGCTTTTAGTATTATCATGTAATCATATTTTATATTTTATAATTATCATTGTATAATCAATTGCCTGAGTAGATGCTTTGAGTATATAGGGAACATACAAGCCTCAGGTGGAGGAAGGGGGGAGAACAGGAGTTACCGTGGGGCCCAGTGTGAGTCACCATCTAGGAATTGTTTTTAAGTACCTTTTGGTGCCTGGTACCCCTACTGAATCTAACAGGTGTAGAAGATGGGAGACATCTCTCCTCTAGAATTGATATAGGATAGTAGGGGAGGGATCTTATTAGTATCATGCAGCGGTTCTCAACCTGTGGGTCGGGACCCCATCTGGGGTCGAACGACCATTTCACGGGGGTCGCCAAACAATGCAGTCTGCCATTTTTTCCCCCCTTTTCCTTAGCTGTGCCAATCCCTTTTATTCTATTGGCTTTTGAAAGCCAATAGAATAGACTCTCTTGAATAGAGTCTAATTCTATTGGCTTTCAAAAGCTTTTGAAAGCCAGTAGGAATTGTCCAGGCTGTCTCTGCCCTGCTGAGCCCGCCAAAAGTCCCATTCTGCAAACGGTGCTGCAAGTTGTCTGCAGCGAAGGCGAACTGTCTGGAAGCTTCCACCCCTCCCTGCTGAGCAACTACTAAAAATGTAAGGAAAGAGGGCCAGGGGTGGGAGGTGGGAGGCCGGCGGGCACAGGGAGGATTGCTGGCACGCGTGGGGCCCGGCGGGTGCCTCACCTCCCTTGGGCTGGGCCAGCTGGTGGCCCAGCCAGTGGTCGCCCTGCGCCGTTGCTGCCCCTTGCCAGCTATGCTTCGGCTGGCGCAGGGGGCGGCACCACGCATGCGTGGCACTCCTGGGCAGGGAAAGTCCTCGACTTACAACCGGTTGGGTAATCCTTGACTTATGACCGGTTGGGGGTCACAGCATTAAAAAGGTTGAGAACCACTGATGTAACAGAACTACTCAACAGTTTCCATGGGCAACGTTGAGGAAAGGGGAAGCCCATCTGTGGATATGCATTCTCGTGCGAAAGCATCTGAAGTAAAATTGGACCTACTCATTAAACATGTGAGGGAGGACAACGTCTGCCATCTTCCCACAACTCAAAAAGCTATTTGTGGAAAAGCCAGCAGTTGCATTCCCAAACAAAAGTCGGGTGGATTCACTGGAAATGTATATTTTCTTCACTTAAAAACTCATTCAAATAATTAACCCATTCATTTTTCTCATTTCATAATCATTAATTTTTTTGCAAGCTATAGTCTGGCCCGCCCCCAACGGTCTGAGGGACTATGAACTGGTTCCCTCTTTAAAAAGTTTGAGGACCCCTGATCTTGACCGACTTTGACCATACTCTTCAGACCGTACTCTGAAAGAAAAATGGTAGGTTTCCTCCTTATTCTAAAAAAGCCCAGGAGAAACCTTGAAGACTACATCTTCTCATGGGTCCAAAGGTGAGAGAAGGTGTTGACGTCCTTCAGAGGCTGGTCTCCCCCGTCTAAGGGGCATCTCAGAAGCCATGCAGCTGATTCAAGGTCCATGGCACAATGCCATGAAAGGAAGAAGGAACTTCTGGGGGTGTAGCCCCAGCTAAGCCTCCCCATATCTACCCCACAGCCCCCTCTGGACCAGATCCCATGGGCCAAACTACCTCCAGTTAAGAGCACCAAGCCAGAGAAGAAGCAGATGCGGTTTTTGATCCCTGGTTGATCCAGGAGGAACTTCACACAGTCCAGGCCAAGGAGAAGAAACACGAATCCAAGGCCAGCCAGAAGGTCAGCGGTGATCAGCAGACCCCGGGTCAGGACCAGCTTCACTGCAAAAGAAGCAGGGTGGGGTGGGGGAAGGAAGATGGGGGGCACACACGCAGACACAGACAGACACACACACAGACTCTGGGTGCAGCTCCTGAACTTGATGTTCTCTAGCTTGGAAGAAGAACTCTGGGTGAATCTTCCCAGATTTTCTTCAAAAAACAAACAAACACCAGGGCTGCTAAGAATGGACTTGGACCTTCTAGACCAGTGGTTCTCAACCTGTGGGTCGGGACCCCATTTGGGGTCGAACGACCATTTCACGGGGGTCGCCAAACAATGCAGTCCGCCATTTTTCCCCCCATTTTCCTTAGCTGTGCTACTCCCTTTTATTCTATTGGCTTTTGAAAGCCAATAGAATAGACTCTCTTGAATAGAGTCTAATTCTATTGGCTTTCCAAAGCCAATAGGAATTGTCCAGGCTGTGTCTGCCCTGCTGAGCCCGCCAAAAGTCCCCTTCTGCAAACGGTGCTGCACCAGTTGAGTAGTCCTCGACTTACGACCGGTTGAGTAGTCCTCGACTTACGACCAGTTGGGGGGTCGTGGCATTAAAAAGGTTGAGAACCACTGGTCTAGACCAGTGGGGTATCAAGGAGAAGGCAGGACCGCATCTGAGGTCCCCCGGAAACCATTCGGCCGGGATATTTTAACACGACAAAATGAAGAAGGAAAGAGGAATTCCTATAACATTCTATGACGTAAAATCATGGAGTTACAACGGCTCTGAAAAAAGTGACTTACGACCATTTTTCACACTTACGACTGTCGCAGCATCCCCAGGGTCACGGGAGCAGAATGTGAACACTTGGCAGCTGACTCACGTTTATGACGGTCGCAGGGTCCCGGGGGAGGGGACACCTGATCCCCTTTTGCGACCTTCCGACAGGCGATGGGGAAGCCTGATTCACTTAACAACCATGTGGCTCACTTAACATCTGCGGTGATTTGCTTAACTCAACAACTAGGGCAGGGGTAGGCAACCTTGGCTCTTTTATGAGCTTGGAAACCTTTACCTTTCCCCTCAGCATGGCTGGCTCAGGAATTCTGGGAGTTGAAGTCCACCAGTCATGGCCATAGTTCCCCCATGCTGGCTGAGGAATTCTGGGAGTTGAAGTCTGCAAGTCATGAAGGGGCCATAGTTCCTCCACGCTGGCTGAGGAATTCTGGGAGTTGAAGTCGACAAGTTATGAAGGGGCTATAGTTCCCCCACAGTGGCTGAGGAATTCTGGGAATTGAAGTCAATTCATGAAGGGGCCATAGTTCCCCCATGCTGGCTCAGGAATCCTGGGAGTTGAAGTCATAAAAGAGCCAAGGTTCCCCACCCCTGCCCTAGGGCAAGGAAGGGTTGTAAAAATGGGGCAAATCTCGCTTTGACAACTGTCTCGCTTAGCAACGGAAATGTGGTCATAAGCCGAGGACTACCTGTCTAGATGATCTCCTGGGTCCCTATGAATCCTCACCTTCTGCGCAAGTCCGCCTACCTGGGTGATCAGCGAAGATCGAATCGTATTCGTCACAGGTGGTTATCCCATCAAAGGCATTGGTGACGCATTCCCACCAGAGGCCACGGCACGTGGCACTCAGCTGGAGGAGAGGAAGCCGTGGTTATTCTTGTGGCTGTTACAGGGCTGTACAAAGTCCACTGTTTGGGAAACAAGTGTGGCCTTCACACAACCAACTTCCCCTTCCCAAATGTTAATCAAAGTTAACGTGTGAAAGCATCTCCTAGTCAAGGTAGAAAATTGTGTTATGGAATAGAAATAGGAATGGAATGGATGGAATGGAATAGAATAGAATAGAATAGAATAGAATAGAATAGAATAGAATAGAATAGAGAAAATGTGGAATGGAATGGAATAGAAAATATGGAATAGGATAGGATAGAATTATGGAATAGAATAGAATAGAATAGAATAGAATAGAATAGAATAGAATAGAATAGAATAGAATAGAATAGAATAGAATAGAATCTGGAAGGGGCCTTGGAGGTCTTCTAGTCCAGCCCCCTGCTCAAGCAGGAGAACCTATGCCATCTCAAACAAGTGACTGCCCAGTCTCTTCTTAAAAACCTCCAATGACGGTATGGCTTCCCCTGGTTCAGCAAGGGGTTGGTCTAGAAGACCTCCAAGGTCCCTTCCAGCTTTTTTCTGCTTGATTAATTCAGATGTCTTTTCCAAATTTGTTAAGCAGGTAGAAGTGCATATAATCTAGAACTAGAAAAATGGCAAAAGTTATGGGAGAGAAATTATAACTTGACAATGTCAACTTCATACAAAGAAAATCTATATAAAATGTTTTATAGATGGCCCTTGCCACTAGCAAGCTTAGCAAAAATCTTTAAAAATATGTTAGATAGATGTTGGAAATGTAAACATAATTCAGGCACATATTATCATGTCTGGTGGACATGTGAGAAAGCAAAGAACTATTGGAAAAAGATACATACTTGATTAGAAAAGGTATTGGGAGAACATGTAGACTTTAAACCTGAATTTTTCTTACTAGGTATAATGCCAGAAAAGATGAACAAACAAAGCCTATATTTGATTTTACATGTCACAACAGCAGGAAGAATAATATTTGCGCCATGTTGGAAAAATGTCTTCCTCCACCAGAGGAAGAAATCATTAAAAAAATACTGGAATGTGCAGAGATGGACAGATTTGACTATGAGTTTGAAGAAAAAGAAGAAGCAGAATATTACCAAACCTGGGACTTATTTTATTGATGGCTAGAGGAAAGATTGAAGGATTAGGAATTAAATAGGTATTAGTGTTTTTAAATCCAGACAGCACGTTGGTTGGAAAATTATTATATGTATGTAAGAAAAAAAATCAAGAAAATCTTGTAAAGAAGAAGAAGGAGGAGGAGGAGGAGGAGGAGGAGGAGGAGGAGGAGGAGGAAGAAGAAGAAGAAGAAGAAGAAGAAGAAGAAGAAGAAGAAGAAGAAGAAGAAGAAGAAGAAGAAGGAGAGGAGAGAGGAAGGAGGAGAGGAGGAGGAGGAGGAGAAGAAGAAGAAGAAGAAGAAGAAGAAGAAGAAGAAGAAGAAGAAGAAGAAGAAGAAGAAGAAGAAGAAGAAGAAGGGGAGGAGGAGGAAGGAGGAAGAAGGAGGAGGAGGAGGAGGAGGAAGAAGAAGAAGAAGGAGAAGAAGAAGAAGAAGAAGAAGAAGAAGAAGAAGAAGAAGAAGAAGAAGAAGAAGAAGCAGCAGCAGCTAGATAAGGAGGAGAGGGGAACATGAGGGGGGGAATCTCCCTTCTCCCCCCCCCCCAGCCTCTCCTGGGCTGCCCTCTTTTGCCCACTCTGAAGGCACTTGAGGTCAACACCGGCCCGCGATCTTTAGAGAAGCAATGGGCTGGGGAAGTGAGAAAAGTAACTCAATCTGTCAGGAATTAACACCGTTGGCCCTTGTGATGCCCGTTTAGCGTTCACACTTGACCAGGGAAGTGTGAAATGCGCAGGCGGACAACCTCGAGGGCATGTTAATGAAGCTGGAAGAGGGTGACTGGCATCACATGAGCCCTTCTGCCAGGAAGCCAAGGTTAAAAAGAAAAAACCTTTGTGGACTCCAAAGATCGTCACCTCACACCTCCCCAAGCGGGTCTGCAATTTCTTTGTGCTTCCTTAGAGAATATAGAATAAAAAAATATAGATTTTTTTTTAAAAGGAAGGAATGGAAAGGAATGGAAATAGAATAGAATAGAATAGAATAGAATAGAATAGAATAGAATAGAATAGAATAGAATCTGGAGGTTTTCTAGTCCAGCCCCCTGCTCAAGCAGGAGAACCTATACCATCTCAGACAAGTGACTGTCCAGTCTTTTGTTAAAAACCTCCACTGATGGAGCACCCATGATTTCTGGTGGCAACTTCTATTCCACTGGTTACTTGTCTTCACTGTTAGGAAGTTTCACCTTAATTTCAGGTTGCTTCTCTCCTTGGTCACTTTCCATCCAATAAGTTGACCCCCTCTTCCTTGTGTTGTTGTTGTTGTTAATTGCGAAGTTGTGTCCGACCCATCGCGACCCTATGGACAACATTCCTCCAGGCCTTCCTGTCCTCTCCCATCTTCTGGAGTCCATTGAAGCTCACGCCTCCTGCTTCAGTGACTCCATCCAGCCATCTCATTCTCTGTCGTCCCCTTCTTCTCTTGCCCTCCATCTTTCCCAGCATCAGGCTCTTCTCCAGGGAGTCCTTCCTTCTCATTAGGTGGCCAAAGTACTTGAGTTTCAACTTCAGGATCTGGCCTTCTCAAGAGCAGTCGGGGTTGATCTCCTCTAGGACTGACCGGTTGGATCGCCTTGCAGTCTGGGGGACTCGCAGGAGTCTTCTCCAGCCCCAGAGTTCAAAGGCCTCCATTCTTTGGCGCTCAGCCTTTCTTATGGTCCAACTTTCACAGCCATACATTGCAACTGGGAAAACCATGGCCTTGACTATACGTACTTTTGTTGGCAGGGTGATGTCTCTGCTTTTTAGTATGCTGTCTAGATTTGCCATAGCTTTCCTCCCCAGGAGCAAATGTCTTTTAATTTCTTGGCTGCAGTCCCCATCTGATCTTTGAGCCCAGAAAAATAAAATCTGTCACTACCTCCATTTCTTCCTTGTGACAGCCTCTTAAATACCGGAAGGTCTATAGTCATCCCTGTTCAACTATACAAAAGCATGATACAAAAAAGGCATTGAGACCCCAGGCGAGTGCAGAGAAGAGCAACAAAGATGATGAGGGGACTGGAGGCTAAAGCATATGAGGAACGGTTGCTGGAATTGGGTATGTCTCATTTAATGACGATAAGGACGAGTGGGGACAGGATAACAACATTCCAGTATCTCAGGGACTGCCCCAAAGAAGAGGGAGTCAAGCTCTTCTCCAAAGCCCCTGAAGGCAGGACAAGAAGCAACGGGTGGAAACTGATCAAGGAGAAAAGCAACCTGGAATTAAGGAGAAATTTCCTGACAGTGAGGACAATTAACCAGTGGAACTACCTGCCTCCAGAAGCTATGAATGCTCCAACACTGGTGGCATTCAAGAAGAGACTGGACAGCCCCTTGTCTGAAATGGTATAGGGTTTCCTGCCTGAGCAGGGGGTTGGACTAGAAGATCTCCAAGGTCCCTTCCAACTATTATTATTATTATTATATATGGATCATCGCACAGTCAGCCAGATGTTCAGACTGGATTTGGCATTTTGTCTACCTATCGAGTCCTTACCCAGGACCTGGGATAGGCAGATGTGGATGTTTGATGGTATTACAGATATCGTCGCAGGATGGAAGCAGTTCCTAATAAGGCTGCCTTTTGCAATTGACTAATAGCGAATTTGTCAATGCCAATGGTGTTCAAGTGGTGCTCCAGTTGTTTTGGGATTGCACCCAAGGAGCCTATTACTATTGGTACTACCCTTGCTTGCTTTTGCCACAGTCTTTCTATTTCTATTTGTAGGTCTTTGTATTTTGTTATTTTCTCCAGTTCTTTCTCTTCTATTCTGCTATTATTATTATTATTATTATTATTATTATTAATCATTGCACAGTCAGCCAGATGTTCAGACTGGATTTGGTATTTTTGCCTTCCCAAAGACTTGAGATAGGCAGATGTGGATTATTATTATTAGTAGTAGTATTGTTGTTGTTGTTGTTGTTGTTGTTGTTGTTGTTGTTGTTATTATTATTATTATTATTATTATTATTATTATTATTATTCACCTTCTATGAAAGAAACACAATAGCTCCAATAGCTCCCAAAGCAGAGACAGACAATAAACGGGCAGAAATCTAAGATAAACGGTCCTTTAGATCAGGGTTTCTTGAGCTTAGCAACTTTAAGAAGTTGGGGTGGGGTAGGGCTTAGCTGGCTGGGGAATTCTGGGAGTTGAAGTCCACCATCTTCAAATTGCTAAGCTTGACAAACACTGCATTAGATCAATGCCAATAAGAATGCCCTATTTGATTTCCCTCTTTGTCTTTCCATTTCTTTCTTTCTTTCTTTCTTTCTTTCTTTCTTTCTTTCTTTCTTTCTTTCTTTCTCTCTCAAGTTCTCTCTCTTTCTCTCCTTTCTTTCTTTCTTTCTTTCTTTCTCAAGTTCTCTCTTTCTTTCTTTCTTTCTTGTTCTCTTCCTTCCTTCCTTTCTTTCTCTCTTTCAAGTTTTCTGTCTCTCTCTCTCTGTCTTTCTTTCTTTCTTTCTCTTTCTTTCTTTCTTTCTTTCTTTCTTTCTTTCTTTCTTTCTTTCTTATCTATAAAATGTATAGTATCCCCCCATCTTACCTCAAGGAAACTCTGTGAAGCTTACCATCATAAAAATAAACAAATAAAATAAAATAAAAACGATATAAACTAAAACCATAAACAAAATAGCACAAAATCCAAAAACTCCTGCCCAATTAAAAACAAAACAAAACCCAGAGGACTTCATGGAATAAAGCAAGCCCGGCTCTCAACCCACGGCCTCACCTCTATGCTTTCTGGGACGGTCCCTGTGCCTTTGACACCTGCACGGCAGGCTGAAACCCAACTGGTAACGTTTCCTTTGGCGGCTGCTTTTCCTTTTGCACCTGGGAAAAAGCACCGAGCATCTGGATGTTCCTTTGCCAGCCAGCACATCTGAGAATCCAGCTTCGGGGTCACACGCCTACACAAACACACACCCCAGGTGCTGCCACGGGCCTTACCTCCAGGGAGTCATCGGCGTTGACCATCCAGCAATCTGTCCAGGTGGCCACAATGAGAAACCCCAGAGAGAAGAAGGCGAAGAAGCAGCCCAGGTACTGGAGCAGAGGCCTCATGTTCGCTGCAAGGGAGACCTGGCTGACCCCTTCGCTGGCCTGGCTCTAGGGCAAAGCCTCCCTCCGCCTCCCTGCGGATGGCCAATGGCCCCCACGGTCCAGTGCTTGGGAGGAAGAGGAGGAGGGCTGTGGCAGGGGTGCTGGGCAGCCAGGAGGAGGGCAAGCCCAGGCATGCGCCTGCATTAAAGCCCTCCTTAATTGCCCCGTGTTTTGCTGAGCCTCAGGTGGACTCACTTGGATCCAGGATTTTGCTGGAGAAGGGCTGGCAGCTTCCAGGAAAGGTTTGGGCCATGCTGGCACGGGCAGGTCAACTGTAGCAGATGCCCCCAAGCCATTGGCCAAGCTCGGGCATCGCCAACCTTAACAGAATAAAACAGAATAACAGAAGAGTTTGGATGGGACCTTAAAGGTCTTCTAGTCCAGCTCCTTGCTCAAGCAGGTGACCCGAGACCATTCCAGACAAGTCATGGATGCTCTGTCACTGGAGGTTGTTAGGAAGAGAATAGACAGTCACTTATCTGAGATGGTATAGGTTCTCCCACTTAAGCAGGGGGCTGGACTAGAAGACCTCTGAGGTCCCTTCCAGCTTCTATTCTATCCTATCCTATCCTATCCTATCCTACTCTACTCTTTCTCAATAAGGATTCTATTCTATTCTTAATTTTGTTCTATTCTTTATTCTGTTCTGTTCTATTCATCATTATTGTATTGTATTGTATTGTATTGTATTCTGTTCTGTTCTATTCTATTCTATTCTTTATTCTGTTGTATTCTTTATTCTGTTCTGTTCTGTTCTATTCATCAGTATTGTACTGTATTGTATTGTATTCCATTCCATTGCATTCCATTCCATATTTTCTATTCTATTCTATTCTATTCTATTCTATTCTATTCTATTCTATTCTATTCTATTCTATTCTATTCTATTCTATTCTATTCTATATTCTATTCTATTCTAATTATTTCTATTCTATTCTACTCTAATTATATCTATTCTATTCTATATTCTATTCTATATTCTATTCTATTCTACATTCTATTCTATTCTAATTATTTCTATTCTACTCTAATTATGTGTATTCTATTCTATTCTATTCTATTCTATTCTATTCTATTCTATTCTATTCTATTCCATTCCATTCCATTCCATTCTATTCTATTCTATTCTATTCTATTCTATTCTATTCTATTCTATTCTATTCTATTCTATACTCTCCAGTCTCTTCTTAAAAACCTCTAGTGATGGAGCACCCACGACTTCTGGAGGCAACTTCTGTTCCACTGGTTAATTGTCCTCACTGTCAGGAAGTTTCTCCTTAATTCCAGGTTGAATCTCTCCTTGATTCGTTTCCATCTGTTGCTTCTTAAAGGGCCATTTGGGACGCAGCAGGCATGAAGTCACCAGGGGCATATTGTTATGGATGCCTCCTGACCCCCTGCGGACACATCCCTGGCCTGCATTCTGCGTTTTCTCCAGCAGGTGGCGATGGGCTCATTCCTCCTGCTCAGGACGGATGTTGGAACTGGGGAACAACAGCTGGATGTGAAATTTGGAGAAGGGGCTGAACCCCACGTTGCCTCCCTGCCATTTAGCAAACTTTTTGCAATTCCCTTTTAAAAAATGATCTCCCTCGTTTCTTTATTAGGGACCCACATTTCTCCCCTTTGGCTGAGATTAAACAATGGATGATTACATGTGGTTCGATGGGAGACCACAGAGAGATCTCAGGGTTACAGGCTAGTGTTTCTCAACCTTGACCATTTTAAGGCATGTGGACTTCAACTCCCAGAATTCCACAGCCAGCAATGCTGGCTGTGGAATTCTGGGAGTTGAAGTCCACATGCCTTAAAATGGTCAAGGTTGAGAAACGCCTAGACAGAGAAGGGATGCGGGGAATCCTCGGAATAAAGCCAAGATATTCCACCTTTATAACAGCAAATACTCTGCAGGGAGGCGTCTATAATATCTCCTGGAGCTGTGATTGAAGGACTTTATACATTTTTACTTTTCTTTCCTCTTTATTAGTATTTATATTTATTAAGAATTTTACATACAGTAAAAGCCAAATTAAAGCACAAATAGAAGAGAAAGAGAGAAAAAGAAAAAGAGAAAAAAGAAAGAAAGAAAGAAAGAAAAAAAGAAAAAAAGAAAGAAGGAAAGAAAGAATGAATATGATGGGGAGAGAGGATGAGTGGATGGATAGATGGGCAACATATAAGATAGATAGATAGATAGATAGATAGATAGATAGATAGATAGATAGGAGAAAGAACAAGAGAAAGAAAGAATGTGAAAAAGAAAAGAAAGGAAAGAAGAAAAGAAGGAAAGGGAAAATGAAGGAGGCAGGGAGGAAGACAAAAGAAAGAAAGAAAGAAAGAAAGAAAACTTGAAAGAGAAAGAAAAAAGAAGAAAGGAAGGAAAGAAGGAAGGGGAAAATGAAGGAGGCAGGGAGAAAAGAAAGAGAAAAGAAAGAAGAAAGAAAGAAAGAAAGAAAGAAAACTTGAAAGGAAGGAAAGAAGGAAGGGGAAAATGAAGGAGGCAGGGAGAAAAGAAAGAGAAAGAAAGAGAAAAGAAAAAGAAAGAAGAAAGAAAAAAAGAAAGAAATTAAATTAAATATGAGCCAGCCGTGTGCTGCAGCTGCCAAAAAGGCCAACACAGTGCTAGGCTGCATTAACAGAGGGAAAGAATCAAGATCACGTGAAGTATTAATACCACTCTACAATGCCTTGGTAAGGCCACACTTGGAATACTGCATCCAGTTTTGGTCACCACGATGTAAAAAAGATGTTGAGACTCTAGAAAGAGTACAGAGAAGAGCAACAAAGATGATTAGGGGACTGGAGGCTAAAACATATAAGGAACGGTTGCTAGAATTGGGTATGTCTAGTTTAACGAAGAGAAGGACAAGGGGGGACATGATAGCAGTGTTCCAATATCTCAGGGGCTGCCATAAAGAATTAAGCTATTTTCCAAAGCACCCGAAGGCAGGACAAGAAGCAACGGGTGGAAACTAATCAAGGAGAGAAGCAACCTAGAACTAAGGAGAAACTGCCTGACAGTGAGAACAATTAATCAGTGGAACAGCCTGCCTCCAGAAGCAGTAAATGCTCCAACACTGGAAGTTTTTAAGAAGAGACTGGACAGCCACTTGTCCAAAATGGTGTAGGGTTTCCTGCCCGAGCAGGGGGTTGGACTAGATGACCTCCAAGGTCCCTTCCAACTTTACTACTATTAAAGAAAGAAAAGAAAATTACATATGGCGACTGACATTATACTTACACCTTGGGCTCTTCCCATCTGGATGACTGCAATGCACTCCGCCTGGGACTGCCCTTGAAGGTTCTAGAAACCTCTCAGAAGCTGCCATTGGTCCAGAATCCTCAGGCACTTCTAGGCTGACCTACATTACATCTCTCTGGGGCTCCCAGCATCCTTCCAGGGGCAATTCAGGCCTGTCCCTTTCCAAGCCCTACCCAGCCCGGGACCCGGCTACCTGCGGGAGCTTCCTTCCTTGAGGGCATCTGCCTGTCCTTCCACGTTCCAGGCTCCCTTCCTAAAATCCTGCCCACCGCTGGGACCCCAGAAGTGTGTGCCTTTCTGTCATTGCCCCTCCCTTGGGCCACAGGTGCTTTCCCCAAAAGGCAACTGGACTTCCTTGGGTTTCTTTTTTCCTTGAAAGCATTTTCCTTCTCCTCTGAGAAGCTTCTTCCGTTCTAGCTTCCGTTTGAACGGAGGAAGCCTCTGAGAGGAGTAGTGAAACCTTTTCAAACAACCCCCTCCCCCCCCCAAGAAACCCCAGTTGCCTTTTGGAAAAAGCACCTTTGACCTGGAGGATGGAGGGTCCCCACATCCCCTCCCTCACCTCCTTCCCTCCCGCCAGATACCCAACAGACTCACAAACACCCCTGCTGGATTACGCAACATATCTTGGCATGGTTGCTGGGGCATCCCAAGGGAAGGACGGAAACGGCAATTTGGGGTTTCGTTTTATAAGTTTATTAGGGCTTTTATCATTTTAATTTTAATTTTTTTTTTACGGTTGTTGCGAACCACCCAGAATTCTGCTTTTTTAAGAAAGGGCAGCCGGGCAGAACCTTTGAAATAAATTAATGAAGGCGTGCATATGCAGCGAACAACATTGTCGGTTGGGCGTCTGTGTGTATGTGTGTTTGTTTGCTGTTGAAGTTGCACGAGGTAGGTGTTTGGGAAAGGGTGGTCCGAACTTAGCTTTCTGTTCTTCAGCCTTAAACCCTCCGAGGATCGTTCACGAAAACCGTTGGTGGCTGAATTGCAGTTTTGACTCAAAATTACTGTTGTGTTGTTCTCTCTGTCTCTCCCCCCCCCCCCCCCGTCAAAACACTCAGCTTCAGCCACCCACACACTGGAAAGTGTTGGAATTTGGAACACACACACACACACATGCACCAATGATGTTTGTCTCTTTCCTCCTTTGAACAAGTTCAGACAAATTTCTGGAGAGCAATTGTTGTGTTTCTCTCATTCGGTTTCTCTGGACAATGTTGTTTTGCTGGCGCTGAATCATTTCTCTAAAGATAGTAACGAGGTCGATGGCACTTGGGTGCAGAAAAAAAGCCTGCACTTAGTAGTAATCCAGGAGAAATATAACTCTAGTTAGAGTGGACAAATAACAGCTGTATTTTGCAGTTGTTTTCTGTACCAGGGCTTAGCCGAAGCACAGGTTTTCAGAAATATAGATATCCTGGTTGACTCATAGCCAAGGTTAAACCGAGACGTTTACCAAATGATGGGAATTGGACCTTCGCTTCCACCTTTAATAGCCTCGTCAGCACTCGTTGTTTTAACCCCCCAAATTTTATTTACAGGAAGTCCTCAACTTACGACCGCAGTTGAGAGCAGAATTTGTGTGGCTAAGTGGAACATTTGTTAAGAAAAAATTGCACCATTCAACAACCTTTCTTACCACACCACAGTTGTTAAATGAATCTTTGCAGCTCTTAGTAATATGGCTGTTAAGTAAATCTAGTTA